ACATAGAGTCCATACCTTAACACTTTAAGTTTTATTTACCATTCAATACATTTTCCCAGACTCTACCACTCCTCGGAAAGGAACAGATCCTTTGTGCTTTAAATTATTAATAGCCCTAATATTTTTTCCACACATTTTTTACCTATCAACTACAAGCACAAACGCCAATATACATTATTGGTGCATGTGATAGATCAGCATTACATGATCCAGGAAGGTAAGAAAAGAAAGCATCCATTTATCAGCAATACCCAGAAGTAGACAAAAAAGCCATTTGGTGGTCAAATGAGTATGCTTTAAAAAGTACATCTTGTCACTGGAAGAATTGTATTGTTTTTACAAACAGGTAAGGTAATTTTATGTGTAGAAAAAATGTTCAGCATCAAGGCAATTCAAAGTCATTTCCATGAAGCACAAACTAATTTTATGCTTTAAAAACATATATAATAGAAATTGCAAAACACTTAATATTTTTATATTACTGGTTACATGGACTGGATGTTGGCAAGTTGCCTTGTATCAAAACAATCTTTATTGGTTCGTATCTGTGTGGAGTTTGCATATGTTTTTCTGAGTTCTCGCTTAGTATCTGGCTTCCTTCCGCAGGCCAAAAACATGACTTGGATTATGTGGTCTCTCTAAACTGCCCTTGGGTGTGAGTGTGTGAGTACATGGTTATGTGTCTGTGTGTTTCTCCAGGGTGTATTCTACTGCTCACCCAATGTACCATTACTAGATAGGCACCTGTCCCCACTACACTTATTGTTTGAGAACATTTTTTTGGTTACGCTACCCTCGTCTACTCATCCATCCATTGTTCATAAGTTGACAATGGATAGATGTCGCCTATCTAAAGCAGCCATTGGATGAGACCTTCCTTCTGTACAGATCACCATTCTCTCGCAAAACAACATAGAGACAAAGAGGACAAACAATGATGCACACACCCACTCACACCAACAAAACATAGGTGTGTGTCTGCACTCACACCTACGTTATGAGTGCAGACACACTCACACTCACAAAGGGAAATTTAGGAAACAATCAACCTAACAATTCTATTTTGGGACTGTGAGAATCAGAGTATGGCAACATACATTTTGGGAGACCATGGGTGTGGCTCTAATAATAATATATATATATATTTTTTTTAAAGAAACCAAAAAATGTTTGCAACTCAGGTTGTAAATAGAATTCAAATAGCGCTTTAATTCTCAAGTCACATTAATTTTCATCATTAGAAATATAAGAAGGATTTTTGTATGCTTGAGAGAGAAGGGACTCACTTAACTGTAAAGAGAACAGAGATGTTTTTCTAGCATTTAAGAGGAATCAGTAGAAAAAAAATTGCTAACCACATTTAGAGTTTTTTTTTCTAACAGCCCCCTTAAATAATTTGTTAAAAATATAAAATTATTAAAATATTAATTGCAATAAAATTTACTGCAATTTTAATTTAGATTACCTGAAATTACACTCATCTCCCATTCTTTCTTGTCACATACCAGTCTATCTTGACACTAGTGAGGAGTATTTAATGGCTAAATGACTTCAGCTTTCTGGCTTAAACTAGAGACTCCCAAGTTTTCAGCTTAGAGTAGGAATTAGCATAGATCACCATGCAAGTTTTGCAGGTGATTTCCTATATCACACCTGCACAGTTTCTGCTCCTAGGCAGAGATGGGCAACATTACTTTCTTAACATGCAAGGAAGACTGCTGAGACCCATCAGATGTTGACACGATCCCAGTGATGGATGCTCCTACTACCTTGAGTCAGTCCTGAAGATTGAGGATCTCATCTCTTCCTGTGGCGCTCCAACAGACTGAACCAATTCACTCACCTCTCTTCAGCAGACCAACACACTCCCATGGTGCTATTTTAGGAAGCAATTACGGTAAAAGAAAAGCACGTGCAGGTGCCAAGAACATTTGACAGGGGGCTCTCATAACCAAGCAGCTGATTGATAACTTCCTATCACTTTGATTTGGCCATGTCAGAGTGACAAAGGGTTACTGCCTTGCAACTGCAACGTCATAGCACCGTATTTCGTTCAAATGCTTCACGGTCTCTATGAGATTGTGGACTTTTGACGAAGTCTAAAGCGACTACAAGTTGATTTAAGACTCAAGGAGCGAACTGGCTCCTCCTCTCAGCTAAAAGACATATAAATGTATACTGACAGAATGGATCCAGAGGAGAAGATCCCTTGAGTTGTGTAAAAGCAGCTCATAGTGCAGGAGTTCATTGAGGACCATTCACCGAGTGCCATGGACAGGGTCACAGTCACAAACTGCTCTCTGGGACTCCTTGGTTTACTATTACTGCAAGGAGTGATTAGTGTGGAGGGGAGGAGCATATTTACCTCTGGTGAGTGTGCAAAAAAATGTAAATGTGTTCCCTCATGGGGCTGAACAAGATACTAGTTTTTGCTTAAAGTGGGAATTTCATTTGCTTTGTATGTTCAGGAAACCATGTGTTTGACCTCAGAGATGACCCAGACATTCAGAGCAAGATTATTGCATTGCTGTTTCACAAAACCTTGGGTACTGGTGAAAAAGATGACCCAGTGGGTAGGTTAAGTTCTTAAGTTCTTCACCTACCCACTACTTCTGAAATCAATTTTAAAAATTTACATAATAATCTAATACTATTTGTTTCCACTTTTGCAGGTATGAAGTTGGGTAATAAATTAGTTGATCTTGAGCAGGTAAGAACTTTCTCTTTTTATCTGGCATGTTGGGGCTCTTATCAAGATGTTGCTGCACTGTCCTTGTGATGTTTAAATGGTCATCTTATTCTTTGATGTATTTGTTTTGTAATGTAATTTTATTTACCAGTTTTTCTTTATTTTCCCCCATAAAAAATGTGAATTTCCTTGTATGAGTGGTACTTCATGAATGAGGCTTATTTGACTTGCTTTGATAAAACATGTCAGGAACAACAGCTTTTAATAATGACAAAATAGATAACACTAGCAACAGTTTTAATAGGTCTGGTCTGTGCTTATAGCTGCGTACAGTGTGGGAAGATCTGGAGCTGGAGCGGAAAATTTCTGCTAATGTAGCCGAGGACAAATCCATAACAACAAAGCGTGGAGAACGTGAGTTAAATTACAACCAATCAAAATGAAGAAATGCTTGATAGTTATTGTGAAACTAATTTATTGTGTTTGTATCTTCTGTTATCCACAGCTTGTTTTTGGAAGTACTGTGTCTGACGAAGACAAAAGGGGAAAAGAACCGCCAGGAAAACTTGCTGCATTGCTCAGCATAGCCTTAAAACCTGCAAACACCAATAATTTGAACAAACTGTATTTATTCTAGCAATATAGAGATGTACATTTCATGTCCCCTTAGATGCTGTCATGAAACCTCTGAGTGATGTTGCTTTACATTTTTCCCAACAGGAATTTTATTATGTAACAGAAATATTGTTGAGTGGATAAATGTTCTTTACCACATTTAAATTTAATCGGTTTTTGTTGCCCTCTTGTGGCAGAAACTGGTCTAAGTTTTTATCAACCATCGCCTCACTTTTCACTGCATTTAGAAAGGAACCATTTTTTGTTTTATTGTGTAAATAAAATGTAATGTGTATCTTTCCTTTTTGTTTGTTGTAAAATTTCTGAAAAAATAAAAGATAATTGCATAGTCTGGTAAGAAAATCCTTTTAGTTGAATTAAACTATTTGTTCACCAAAAAAGAGAAAAGAGCTATAAAAACAAATAGGATTTTACCACTGATTATTCTGAAACAGTAAATTGCTACATTGAAAAGTGACTTTCAAAAGTTCAAGAGCAGTGAGACAGGATCATGGTACATTGAGTAAGGTAGGTATTTTTGGCTCAGTTGTGCCAGTTTAAATACATTTTAAACGTATGCTAAACTATTAAAAATGTCTTTTCAGTTTTAATTGCACCACTAAGTCACACAGTTCTTGATTAATATGGTTGTTATTATTTACCTTCCACAAACCTAATGCAGTTTTGAATTTGAATTCATGCTTTATGCATGAAAATCCAAGCCTGAATTTTCATGGATGGAAATAAAAGCTATTAAAATATATTAAAGCTTTACCCAATTTTTAAAAGACAATCCTATCAATGTGAAAGGAACTGTTTAAAAACACTGTATAAAGGATGGGTGGTTGGAATAAATTTCAATTCTTCCAGAAGAATACCATAAATATTTATTAGACTTTTCTTAATACAACACAACAAGCCATGTCTATCACTTTTTTTGCTATTTTGTTTTTGGTTTTCAAGCCCTGTTAAATATGAACACAGTAAAATTATTTACTAAATAAATGTGAACAATTTTGAATTAATGCTAATGTAAAATATCACATCCATTGAAAACTTATGGAGAAGACAATGACAATAATGTAGCCATCAGAAAAAGGAGACATATGGCATTTCACAGTAACTCTATCACAAATGCAAAATCACTCATAAATACCACCAGTATGTGAATGCATGCTTCGGTTTAACTGTTCTCTTTACATGCCGTTTGATAACAGTTGTCTGTCAGCCCTGTCACTTCAGCTCTGTCCCCGGAAGGAGTTTTTTCTTTTTTTCCCCTTTTTTTTTACAGAACACACAGAGTTATCTATTCCAGCAAATAGGATGCAGAAAAAGCTGCTTGCAAGATAAGTCCACATCAGAAAATAAGGAGCCAGAATCGTTATTTAATTTATATATAGGAGGCTCAAAATGTGGAAACAATGTCAAAACATTCAGACTTCTCAAAACTAAAAACAAGCGCGATAAATAAATTGTTGTAGTATTTTTATGGTATTAATGAGGACAAAAAGCATGAGGCATTTGTCAGGTCACCACAGTTAACCCTGCGTGTCCCTGTCTGTATTGATGACGTGACGTCTTTCTGGGCTGGCATGTTGGTGAAGAAGAAAGCCGGAAGCTTTGACAGGCAATGAGTGCACATCTCAGTTAGACAGCAAACTGAGATGCAAACTTCCCTTAAGTCCGAGTTGCAAACCGAGTTGCAGAGTGGCTCAGAGCGCAGCAACCAGCAGACCGCGATGGAGTCCTGCGTCAAAGGTTAGTTAAAAATTTCTATCTTCTTCTGCTTTTCACCTCTGAAACAGTTTTGATCTGTAGTGATTGCTGTCTAAAAATTTTAAATGCTCGTCATGCTGCTCCTCTCTAAAAAACAATTCATATATTCAACATGGGGTAATTTCTGAATCTCTATCAAAGCTAACCTGCCATTTTGTGTATATATTAAAACTATTACTTTTTTATTTTAATTACACAGGTACGCTGTGGATGATAATTACTCTCCTCACTCCACCTCTCTTCGATTGCAACAAGATTTGCCCTAGAGGCTGTCAGTGCCAATCTCTTAGTCACATTTTTTGCAGTGACCGTAATGGCAGAGATTTGCTGGAGGAGCTGAGTGTCCACACATATACTCTGCTGCTTGACAAGGCCAACATGGATGTCCTCGGTGAGAAGAGTCTGGAAAATAAGAGTCTCCTACTACGCTTTGGTCTGACCAACAGCCACTTGCACACCATCCATCCCTTGGCATTTCATGTAGCTCCCCAGCTCAAGTCCGTCAAGTTGACGGACAATGAGCTGTCAACTCTTCCCGCTCGGGTGTTCAGTCCTCTGTCTGTGGTCGAAGAGATTTACTTAGATGGAAACCAGCTTGAGGTCATTAATCCTGATATGTTTGCGGGCCTGGACGGGTTACTGATTCTGGATCTGAGCCGCAATAAGATCAGAGATCTTCCTCCAGACATGTTTGAAGGACTAAGCAACCTCTTTCTTCTGAACCTTGGCAGGAACAACATAAAGAAGCTATCGGCAACAATTTTTCACAGCCTGACTAAACTTCAGCTACTGAGGATGTATTACGATGAGCTTGAGGTGTTGGAACCGGGGATTTTTGATCAGCTTGAGAGTCTCAGTGTTCTGAATCTCCATCACAACCAGATCAAAAATCTTCCACCTCATGTGTTTTGGTCACTGAAGAACCTGACAGAACTCACCCTGTCCTCCAACCAGCTGAAGGGTGTCCCACGCAAGAGCTTCTACAACATGCCAAAACTTAAAAAACTTACAATTTACAGCAATCCCCTGCTATCGTTGCCAGACGAACTCATGGGCCACATGCCATACATTAAACAGTTTTATTTGTATGATACAAACCTCAACACTGTTCCTGGAAACCTGTTTGCTAACATGTCTGGACTTCTGGAGCTGAACTTCCATTTAAATGACAAGTTGAGGTACTTACCGCCAGATCTTTTCTGCTGTCTTCCCAACCTTGAAAAGCTCTCCCTCAGAAACAACAGTCTTCAGGATCTTCCTCCCAACCTTTTTTCCGCACTAGCCACACTGAAAATACTCCTCCTCAACGACAACAAATTGAAGAACCTACCAGAGAACATTTTTCAGAACCTCACATCACTTGTTACCATCGATTTGAAAAACAACAAGCTAAACACACTTCCTGGAGATATTTTCTTGTCAAATACAGACTTAAACGCTGTTACTTTGAGCGAAAACCCCTGGCACTGTGATTGTGCTATAAGAGAATTTGTAAGGTGGGTCAGAGAAAATGATCGCATTGTTCTTGACAAAGATGATGTGATATGTTACAGTCCACTGTTCAGCTTGCTGAGTAGGCTCCACACTCTGACTGACGACCAATTCAGCTTTTGTGATGAGAAAACAACAGGTAGCTTATTTCTGACGCAAACTGTCTCATATGAACCAACTCAAACACCGTGTTACACTTCTGACACCCAAACTACGAAATCAACCGCCTTAGAAACTACAACAAACTCAGCGACGGTTTATACCTCAGCCTCCAGTCAGGCTGATGCAACTCCCATTGCCTCACCTGTTTTTCATGATTTACTGATGGTTGAACATGGACCTGACTATGTTCACCACAACGTCCACAAACACTGGGTGTACGTGTGGTTTCTGCCGTCCGGTTCGGCTTTAATTGGATCCATAATGTTTTGTTATGTCCTTCTTCTAGTCGTGGGTTTGGTGCTCATTCTCGCTGCCATTTATGGGATGCATCGTCTTGGCACAGCCATGGACAAGATAAATGCTGAGTGTGCGCAAAATGAGGAGCACACCATGTTATCAGACTTGGTGCATGCTTGAAGATAAACACTCGCTTTCCACAAGCATTTTCCCCCCCAAAATGTCTACTATAGTATGCTGTCTTTATTGCTAATGTGGCTTTTTGTTTGTTAATTGAAGAATAAACTAGATTTAGAAACATTTAATGGTATTTTTTTTCTCCTCCCACTTTTTATTTTGTCAGTTTAAAATGTGTGCACTTTTCAGCTTTTATGTTACATCTATTACATGCAAAAAATATAATGAAGCAAACTTGATGTACAAGTCTTCATAGCCTCTCAACCAGAACAAAATAAAAGAACAAAATAATAAAAATATTCTAGTCAGCTTTGTCTTTTTTTAGTTGTCATCCTGAACAATTTAAATTTTATTTGAACATTCATGAAGATGCTTGTTGAGGTACATGCTAAGCTGCTTCTACAGAAATACAGTGAAGTGGATTGCTGTAGCAGAAGTGGAGAAACTATTTAAATACTTGCCAAAGTATCTTTTCTATAAGTATCTACAGAGACATTATAAGTAGATACTTAGTCTGTGGTAAAGTCACTTCTAACTATATCTTCAAATCAGAAAACAAGAATCTTTGTTTTGAACTTAAGCTGCATTTCCTGCATTTAGGCTTCAAAATGATATCATTCATGCCTCTCCCACCTCTAATTATCCCTGTCTTCCACATCTGTTATGTGTTTCTACTTCCCTTAAGTCCGAGTTGCAAACATTCAGTTTGTAGAAAACCAAAGTACACTGCCAACATTGCACCAATAAATTAATGTCAGTATAAGTGAAGAATAATACTGCTTATGCTTGCACCCAAAACATCTGTCATTTCTCGCCTTAAGTTTATCTGTATTTAAATACTTTGCCAAGTTGAAATGACAAAGAAGGAGGATTTCCAGAAATTCATCACAGTCTGGATAACGGGAAGGTTACTGAGTCTTTTGTATTATATGTCAAAACAGGAAGGAGATTGAACAGTGATTAAGCTCTTAAAATGTCAGTGAGTTTTCTAAAGGACACGTCTTTCTTTTACAAAAAGTGTCATCTGGACACAGTGAGAAATTTCCTCACTGTAATTTCAAAAGATAAAACCACAACAGCATGCAGAAAACCACACCCAACACAAACAGTCAGTGTCTGGGAACAGCTCAGGAGGAGCATCTTCAAAAAAAGACGTTTGAAGCTTTTTCAATCAACTTTTGGAATTGTATGACTAAAACTTATTAAACTAAAGGTTAATTTTTAGCACACCAGTAACTACATTTAAACTCACTCTTCTGAGGATGTAACAGAGAAGTTCATCTGTTAAACTGACAAATAAGTTTCAGACTAATTTAATCTTCAGAGTGTCAACACATGCTGCAAATTCCATGGGAAGCGATGAGAATTTAAAGCATAAAACAAAACAAAAGAGGATAAATTGGCAAACAGGACCCAAGTTCATTGCTATGACAACGGGTGATTAGGGCTTTCCAGTACGCTGAGCTCACACAACAGTGGGCACAAGCACATTGACCAACACTGTGAAAATTGGTGAGCAAGGGAACAGGAAGCTGCATGAATCGTCAAACATCTGACTGTGGAAAAAAATGGAAGAGCTATAAAAAAACAAAACTGTTGACTTCTGTGTTTGAGACAAGAGGAGGATTTACTTGTGATGAGCTGACAGGAACCTGCTGTTTTGACAGACTCTCAAAAGTAAACACAACTCGGGTCAAGCTATTCCCTTACGTAAAACATCTGAGCTTCACTTTAGCACAGAAGTTAACTGTTAAATTAGGGCATTTTTGCCAAACATTTTACTCCACATAAATAGTAAAAATGAAATCACAATCTTTTGATTCTAGGATTTTAAATAATAATAATAATAATAATAATAATAATAATTATTATTATTATTATTATTATAATCATAATTGCGTTTTATTTGTAACGCACCTTATATTTCAAAGAAATCTCAAAGTGCTACAGAGACAAAAATAAATTGTAGAGCTTACAATAAAACATACAATAATACATTTCACATCAAGTGGTACAAAAATACAAATTAAAAACTAACAATTCAAAGTAAAACTTACAATTCTAAAAGGCCTGTTTAAAAAGGTGAGTCTTAACACCTATTTTAAAGGCCTCCACACCTTGTGCGGCTCTTAGGGGCTCTGGAAGGGCATTCCAGAGTCGCGGAGCTACAGCCTGAAAAGCCCTATATCCCATAGTGGCAAGTTTGGTCTTAGGTTGATGCAGGCAGTAAAAGGAAGCGGAAGAACGAAAAACCATGTATGTAGGTTTTTAGGATGACACAATTGTCTCAAACTTTTCTGTTTTGTCATTAGCTTTAGTTATTATATGACACTAAAATAAGAGTAAGAGAGTTGTTATCTTTGCTTATGTTTTACCCTGTAAAAACAAATTGATGTATATACTTCAACCCTTCTTAATAACACAGGCATAGTTTACAGTTTTCTTTAAATTATCTTTAATGACAATTTATGTAGAAAGACTAGAAATAGACACTGAAAGTAAGCAATTAATCTTGAGGATTCACAAATGAAACATGGTATCATCCAGACAAACTTGAAACAAATTTTAAAAAAGGTTGATAATATAGTTATAAAACGACTTGGAAAGCGCAGACATTTATGAGGTTGGGACCTGGTACCCTGGCCTGGGTTAGTAAGATTTTTGCAAATCTAAACATCCCTGCTGCAATTTGCTGGCTCTGCATGGTGAGAATATCTAACTCCACCCATGCAGACCCATGCCAGGATTTGAATCCAGGATCTTCCTTCCAGAGCTGGTTGAAAAAATAAACAGGTGCCCTTTGAATCTCGTGCTTCAGAGAAAGGTTTTAAAGCAGGCCCACAGTTTTAACATTTGTTGATTGAGATTGAGAATACTAATTCATTTTATTTAAAGAGTAACCCCAAAATAACTTTTGTGTACAGATAAACTGTATGAATAACTCATTAAGTTTGCTGCCTTTTATTACTGTGCAAATTGTGACATTTTGTGTACTTTTGTTTAATTCTGCAGTATTTGTTCTGAAACCATCAAATCTTTCTTTCGTTTACAGCTTAGCAGCTTAATACCTCACTCAGAAATGCCCCAAATGCAATTCAATACGTGGCCTTGGGAGGATGATGAACATTGACTGATATTGTGTCTTAGCTTTATACAGGTGCTTAATTTGCAATATGGTTCTGCTTTCTGCTTTGGTATTGTATTCAGTTTGACTGTGGGAGAATCACTGCGCTGTTTAGGAAGCACCAGCTGCTCACTCAGTTGGGACAGTTACTATAGTGGGTGCTTCCCAGTCAAGTTGCTTTTTTGAAAACATAGACAAGCATTCTAGATGTTGGTTCAGTAAAGATGAAGGTGTTTTAGATGCTAAAACCACCTCAACATTACTAAAGGTGTTAGAAAAAGCAATACTCCCAGAACACCATGTTTTAGTTTGCCTTGTCCTAAAATGTCGCAGTGATACAATCATGTCCAACTTGGGGTTGCTGATGCGCTATCTTGCAGCCACATCAGTCCATACGTTAGCTCCACCCCTGTTATCATTTCCCTGATGGTTTCCTGTGTGTGAGTTTGAATGGTGAAAACAGCACTGACAGTAACAGAAGATACCCTGTCGGTACATTTCACATAAATAAGTACATTGTGTAATCAAAAATACACAGACACACTTTTTTTCTTTGACAGATTTCCTTCACTGCTCCTTATATTACATTCCCTTTAGACAGAATAATGACAAAAAAAAAAGTTTCAAGACATAATTTTTACATGGATGATAAATAATAAAACATTGTTTAGAGAAATATATATTTTATGCTGTTTTTGCCGCACAAGTAAGTGGGAGTATGAGCAGAAGTATATTTACAACTGCATGCCATTATATATATAGAGCTGTTTTATGAGCATACCAGAGAAGGGACACCAAAGTTATGTGCAACAGATTTGCATACACCCTAAAAATATCACACAAAACCTCCTCCTATTGTTTTTGACAAAATCTTTCATCGTCCCTGCAAGGTCCCTTTACTGACAACACAAAGCTATTGACACACACACACACACACACTCACTCACAAATAAATCTAAGATGAAATGCAGACCTCTCTCCCCTCCAACACTCACGCTTGGGCAGCAAAATCAGTTCAGACAGGGAGTAAAACAGCAGGGTTGGGCTTGTTCCCCTCTACTTTTCAAAGCTACAAAGAGGCAACAGAGCTACTCAACAGCCCGAGTAGAGCTTCAGGGAGACAGAGAAATCCTAAAAATTTCCAGGGCTTAGAGAGAGAGAGAGAGAGAAAGAGAGAGAGAGAAACAAGACAAACAAATAACTGATTTAAGGGAAACTTCAAGATATGACACAGGGCAGGAACATATGAAAGTGTGACAGTTCAGAAGGAAACTTTGAGAGGATTAATGAAGCAGTGGAAGGAAGGGTGTTGTGCATAAAAGACAACCCAACCAGTTCACTCTGCTCAGTGATCAACGAGGACGACTGAGGGTAAGTTCTGCAAAAACTCTTTGTCCTGTTTGATAGAGGCTCATCATAAATAAGCACAGAAGAGATTCTTCATTATGTAGAAATGTGAAACAAATATGAATAACACAAGAATGAAGTTTTTGTGTTAAAAATAAACCCATTTTAATGAAAGTTTTGTTTAGCTTTCATTCCTGTAATTTTCCTCGTTGATTACAATTTGGTTTCCTGGACACATTCCCTAGATTTAGATCGCAAAGTTTGCTGGTTCTGATTTTTTGAGAAACACTTTGGTTTATATGCCAGCTGTGGGAGAAGCAGAAAACATGAGCCTTTTATAATGAAATGAAAATGCTTTGCCCATTACACCAGACTGTTGATCCATCCGGGAATTTCCAGTCAGAGTATGTAAGTAGAGACACATGATTTAACCCACACTTTGGCTAAAGGAGCATTATGATACTGCACAAAACTGTATAAATAACAAATACTGTGCCTTGTTATGATGACAGTAAGATTCCTGCTGGTTACACACTTGGATAAGATTATGCGTCTTTGTGTCCCTAAGCTACTGTTATGTAAGATTTAGTTGTGATTTTATAGTGTACTATATTCCACTAAGCCACATACAATAAGAGAAGTTGTTGGCGGTCTCAAATACTACCAAATATGATAAAAAATACCTTTTATAAATTATGATATCCAACTCATTTTGCGATATAAGTATATTCAACACTGGTTATGGATTTTTGTTTGCAAACTTTTAACATATGTGTCATGTTTCATCCACAAGGGGGTGCTGCTGTACCTTCTGTTCCCCTATTTTCCCCAGTCTTGAATATTTATACAAAAAATTTAAAACGTAACTAAGTATATAGATAATTTACTACATCTGGAAATAACAATTTGAGACAATTTTCAGCTAATGCATGAAGACTAAACTGTATATTTACAATTCTGAAGAAAACATATGCCATTGTTATGGGTCAAAGTATTGCACATTTATTTAACATTTATTTATTTAATTGGGACATTTTGGACCCAACAGTGACATTGGTAAAGACTATGCAAGCAAATGTATTATGTCATTAAATAAGCAACAACATTTGAATCAGAGTAAATTATGTGGTTTACTCTGCATGGACAGAGTACTTACCACAAACTTTAATTGGAAACAGACATGACGTGAGAAAACTGTAAAAGCCTGTGAGGTAGTTGGGCGTCTTTTACAAGAAAGCAAGCAAGCAAGAAAGAAACAATGTAAGAAAAAAGAAACAAAGAAGGAAAGAAAGAAAGAAAGAGAAAGAGCAGAGATACTAATCCTTTTAGAAATTAAATTATGCAAACATGCTTGCGATGTGTTTCTCTGTCTCTTGGACACAAAATGAAAAATAAAAAAACACCGTCCTTCACAACCTGTTTGTACCCCAAAGCCTTAACAACCACAAGTCGAGCCACGTGCGACCCCAGGTCCGCTCAGCTTAACAAAACACGCAGTAACTCAGCCGTTCTAGGATCTATATGTGCCACGTTTGTTTGTAGCCACAGCCCCGCTCACCACCCTTCACTGAAGATTTGCAGGCAGTTTCTCAATAAGGGGGTTTAAGAAGAAAAAAAACAAATGTGCTGCCTCGGCAACTGACCTCATTAGAGCCTTTTTGGAGAGTTTGTTCCTTTGAGAGGAAGTAGCAGCTTCCCAAAGTGCCTCAACCACTAAGAAATGGCTCACGTTTCCTTGCCTCAAGCCACAGAAGGATTTGTGCAAGGAAGTAGGACATTATACTGAACTTACCAGGGGCATTACAAACAGGGGAGAACTGTTTGTCAGTCACGTACGGGTCATCTTTAATAGTGACAAACACACACAACATTTAACAATGTACTATTTAAAACAATCTTCTGAAATAAAGTTTTTGATTACTTTGAAAAAGTTAAATAGCCATTGTAGCATGTTGTTTTAAATTGTTGCATTGCCAAAAGCCCTCTAAGCGTTGTGATTTAGCCGTCAATTGGGTCAGCAGTGTTGGCAGGCAGTGATCCGACCCACTGGCAACACTGGGTCAATTCATGCTAATGTTTCCGTCTGGCATAAAACAACAGCTGAGACTGCACACACGATTACTGATCTGTAGGCATGTTTTCTGTGTTATGGTGTTGATTTATAGGATCCCTTGGTGGCATTAAAGCAATCCACAGCAGTTCAGGAGGGGCTCTGTACCTTTTGTGTCTATGGAGGAAGCAAAGTGCTCTTTTTTCGAAAGAATATTTGTTTAGTAAAATAGTTTAGTTCAAGTTTTCCTTGTAAAAAATCTATTTTATAGTGTGCGGGTTTTTTTTTTTTTTTTTTTTTCAAATGCAACATTTTACCAAAAAAAAAATTGTTTTGTGACAAAACCATAAAATAGAGAACTGATAACTTTCATCTTAAGGCTTCATTGGGTGCTCTATTCTGAAACAATACAAAACCAGGAACAAAAGCAAAAAAAAAGAAATAATTTCTTTTAAAATACATCACAGTTGCATCACTGGTTCAGTTGAGTGGGTTTATGTGAACCCACTCAACAACAAAAAAATGTATGTGTAGCCTTAAAATGTTGTCTCCAGTTATTCATCTTAGAAATAGTATAGTGTAAATATTTCTGTTGCATTTAGTTGTCACTACTCACTTCTACTCTTTCAGTCAATCAGTTTTGGGACGTTTTAGATTTTGAACTTAAATGTGTATTTGTGAAAGATAAACTTACAGTAGAAAGTTAGGCTAAATATTTGATCATTTGGTCATACCTTTGAGAGTTTAGTAAACCAGGATTTTTAAGTTGGCACTTAAATCTAAAAGAAGCAAAAAGTTGGGTTGGGAACTTGCAAAGCAAAGTCAGTCGGCTTGATTTCACATGTATACTTTATATTCTAACATAAAATCAGGACAATTTTTCTCTTGCGATTCCTTCTTCTGGTTTATTTTGTATACAGTCACAAATGTCAATTTAAAATTTCAAATGTATAAGTGTTTAAAGAGCCTCAGTGTTTATTCTTAACTCTTTGGTGCAAAAACTGATTGAAAATTGATTTATTCGATTTATTCACTGTTTATGCATTTTTAAGTCTGTATATGGTGGGGATGGAATTGCAAATGAAAACGTCCCTTTAATACCTATCCAAATATGAATCCAGCAAAAATATTATGATTGAGGCTTGCAATACTAATGAGATTGTTTTGTACAAAAGTATTGAAAGCATAAAAATACTTGAAATAAAAAAATCTGACGAATGACTTATTTTTAACTATTTTTTTTAAACATATCTTCTTCTTCTGTTGTAGGACCAAAATGGACGCAGTAACTTCTTTGCTGCTGTTTTTCTGTTCTCTCGGTGCTGCTTCTTCATCTTGTATGCCTGGATGTCAATGTGTAGGAAGAAAAATCTCATGCCAAGACCTCTCTGACTTCCCCACACATGTGCCGTCATCTACCACTCACATCAATTTTATTCATTGCAAATTTCATTCTCTGAAACATGAAGATCTCACTGAGTTTTCCTCTTCTCTTGAGGTTCTTATGATTGTAAAGACTGCTTTGAAGGAGGTACACCCTGGCACATTCAACTCCTCATTAAATCTAAATTTCATTGTAATGACAGAAACTGAACTGCAGGATCTCCCCGAGATGTTGTTTGAAAACCTGCAGAAACTTCAGACTTTGAATCTGAAAAATAACAAGCTCTTTGCAATCCGACCAAGATGGTTTTCCCAGTTAACAGAGCTGACACAACTGGACATGAGCAGGAACCGCTTCAGTTATGCACCAAAGGAAACCTTTCATGCCCTAAAAAAGCTGAAGTTCTTATCACTTGCTTCAAACTCTGTAACTCAACTATTCAGTGGCACATTCAAGGGTCTTTCTGAACTAGCAATCCTGCGCCTTAACAGAAACATTCTGAAGGAGCTTCCAGCTGACATTCTGAATGACCTTGTTAACCTGGAGGAACTGAGTCTCCAGGACAATCAAATTACTCATCTGGACCCTATGCTGTTTTCAAAGACTCCAAAACTACAGAAACTCTTTGTCTCCAGCAACAGACTGATGTCTCTTCCACAGGGGATCTTTTGTAATTTGCCTCTCCTCTCCCAGATTTCTCTGTATGAAAATGTCCTGAAGAGTCTGGGTCCAGGGGTCTTTGGCCCAATGCCCCTGCAGGAGCTGTGGTTGTATAACAACAAACTAAGCAGTGTGGATGATGACACATTCAGGAACCTGACTCAGTTACGACTTCTGGTTCTCAGTCGCAACCAGATCAGCCATGTATCTGAAGGCGCCTTTAGAGGTTTGATACAACTCGGGGAGGTCTCACTGCACACCAATCGACTCACAAGCCTAAAAGCCAGAACTTTTGAAGAATTGCCCCGTCTGGTCAACATATCTTTGGAGCACAATTTTATCACCTCCCTTCCATTGGATTTTCTGAAAGGCCTGAACAACGTGGGAGAAATAGATCTGCGGAACAACTCGCTTCCAAACTTGCCCCAGCACAATCTAGATTCACTTACTAAAGCAGAGAATGTCCTTTTACAGCAGAACCCCTGGAGGTGCGACAAGAATATTTTGCCTCTGAGGAACTGGCTCAAACTATACCCATCCAAGGTCAACCAAACTCTTGTGGTGTGTGAGATTCCTTTGAAACTGAAGGGTGAGATAATAGCAATGCTTGCAGATGAGGATCTGATGCCTGTCAGCCCTACTGAAGATCCTGCATCGGCCTCAACTGAGAAGAGGAGTCCCCCTACAGATGTACCCAAACAAAGCTCGCCGTCAGCTGAGGTGTTGACCACACCAACGTCAGAGCAAGAGAATCTGACTAACAGAGGACAAGGGGGAGGTGTAGAGACTAATAATATTTCACTTATTCTTATTGCACTTGCAGTGGTGTCCACTGTCATCATCAGTTCAGTCATCATCGGCTGCGTCTGCTGGAAGAGAAACAGGAGAGGAAATGAAAATATAAGCCAAATGAGTCGGAATTCAGTGCTGTAGACAAGATCACAATCAGAGACTTTTAAAGCGAAGGGAAACAGTTCATTGGTGATTGTATATCCTGAAAAGCTGCACTTTCAGTCAGTATTTGTCTTCTGTTATGCGACTTAAAAATGAAGGACATGAACATCTCATTCACTAGCTGTAAAATGAAGAACCATATAATGTCGTGACCAGCCAGCACCTTTGTCTTAAACGTGAACCAGGCCTCTGTATTTGGCAATAGCCATGACAGTTTGATGCTGATTCCTCTATAAATAACAATGCAATTAGTAAGAAGTTTATCATTTGTGGCATTAGGATAATGCAGTCTGTATCTGACTACACTATAACACAGTTTTAATGCAAAATGCCTCTGTATTCTGAATAAATGACAACTTTTCTTCTTAATAATAGACTGCTTTATGTTTTTAGTACTATAGATATCCATATTAACAACATGGCTGCGTATAAATAATATTTCAGAAAACATTAAAGAAAATCTTATAAATCAGTCTGACTGAAAGAAGGCTTTGTGCATTACAATGTTTATTTAGTTCACAAAACTTTTTAGTGACTGTTTTCATCACTGACTCCTTTTTTTATCTTGACAAAACAATTTTATTTAGAAACTAACTAAATAAAATATTTTTTCTTGTATGAAAATGTGGGTAATGTCTTTGAGACTACATTAGATTTTGCTCAAAGCAGAAAGTAAATGTGTATCTGTTTAAGGCAAACATAACAAAGCTAAGGTATGTTACTCAATATGAAGAAAATATTACTCACAAAGATATGAGACCATTTATTAATATTGAGTTGAGAGAAATTAGAGTGAAGCTAAAATGACAAAAAGATGATTTAGTTGTGATTAAAACTAAATTGGATTTTACTAAACAGAATTCAAATTAAAATATGCTGTCATGATAGAAGTAAACTGTTGCACACTTTGGAAATCAAGCAATCTTGTAATTCACTTCTATCTGCAATGAAGACTGCTGTTCTTTAAAAACCCAATCACAACAGCGCCATCTGGTGGAACGAATAAAACTTCTCATTTTAAAACAGACTATTGCATGCAAAGATCAGACAAAACAAACGGATTTTGAGCTTTACGTGCATCAATTCTCTGCGGAGGGAGTCAGAAACAACAATTGGGAAGCTGTAGATAACATTCAGATTGTAAGAAATTGTTCATGTTTTAAGTTGTGTTTCCTGCAGCTATTTTGGGAATAGAACCAGAATAAAAAGATTTTGTTGTATTGTCATAAAATAGCTGCATGTTCTTAAAACATAAATACCCACAAATCACAAAATACTATAGAAGTTGTACTTCAGTAGCTAATAATCAAAACTACCCTTAAAGACAAAACAGCTATTGAATTGAATTAGCAGAGAACATTACATTAGATATATGCTTCTTATGCTTGGTATTCACATGTTGTAGTAGAATATTTGCTGAATTTTATTGAAATACCATTTCTTTATATGCATTTTTTTTTTACATTATTTATTTGTTTGTTTTAATTCCATTAGTAATTTGCTTAGAATATGCATAAAGACAAACCCTGAGTGACAGAAGTTTAAGAAACCACATTGCTCCAGTGAGACATAATAAAAAAGAGTCGGCCGGTGCAGAAAAATGGAAAAAGCTTAGGAAATTTTACATTGATTTTGATCTTAATCAAAGATGATAAAATTAAAGTTGTTTGTGACCAATGCAGAGAGTTTTCCCAGTGTGAAGCATCATTTAAATGTAGCACAGTAAAAACTAGCAAGTGACCCACACAAACAAACATCAGAGGGAGGTTTTCATGAACCATGATCCATTCAGAGTAAATATCAATAAGAGCAAAGTGAAAACAGGCAAAAAAGCTTATAGGAAATTACAAGAGGGGATTAACTAAATATTAATAAAGATTTTTTCAGCAATAATTGAGAAGGGTATGTATTGTTCAAATTATTAAATTATATATTTATGTGTTATTTTATATTCCAATAACTATGCCATCTTTTCAGAGGTGTCTAACTGGTTTCCTTTCAAAAACAAAACTATTTTTTAACCAAATCATATTGACTCTGAAATTTGAGTTTTTCTGGTGTCATACTGGTGTTATGCAGCAAGCTGCTGTCCCTGCTCTTATCTCTGGCTCCAGAGGTTTGCTGGACCCCGCCTCACATGCCTTCATATACTTAAAGCTCTACATGTTTTGAGATAAGAAATGAGACTGCGCTTATTTATGTTTTCTTGTGGGTCCATCCAAGTTGCAGAAGTACTAAGGTAAGAAAAGCGTTTGTTATTTCTGAGAAAATATTAGATTATGAGATTTTTTTGGTCAGTAGAGTATATTGTTATCATATATATGTTATAGTTTTTTTATTACATCAGTTTATTTATTATACTGTTTTTGTTCTTACGTTTTTGACAACAACCTACCACATGGACTAAAGATTTAAATCAGCCAACTAACTATCATGCTAAACTTTTACATGCTAATTATATATATTTGTCATGCTGAAAAAAAAATAAACTCAAATTTTACTTTATGAGAACTTTATTATTAATTAGTAAATTAGGAATGATAAAATTTTTCCCCTCCGTTTTTTGTAGAATGTCAAGAATGTTGAATGGAGGGATCATCATTTTCCTTTTATCTTTACTGATTGACTTTTCCATTACTCAACCCGATCAACAAGAGAATCAGGAAGTGTATGGTGTGTCTGCAACGGAAATCCCCCGCACTCTGAGACCTGGTGTGACAGAGGTCTTCTTTGTGAACAGCCAGATTCATACAATCCCCAGTGGAGCTTTTGTTGGAAGTCCAGACCTTGAGAAGGTGGAGTTTATGGAAACAGGAACAAATACAATCGAGGTTGGAGGCTTTGATGGTTTGATGAAGCTCAAAAGTATTGAGATATCCAGTAATCCTTTGAGGTCAGTGCCTGTGGGTTTGTTTAAAGAAAACAGCAATCTGGAGACAATTATTATGAAGTTTAACAAGCTTGTTCGACTTGAAAAAGGTTTGTTTGATGGTCTCACAAAGTTGGTAGACCTACAGTTACATGGAAATGAAATTGAGTTCATTGAAGACCAGACATTTGACGATCTCGTCAATCTTAAAAAAGTCAATTTGGGTAAAAACAATCTTACTTCAGTATCCACAAGCTGGTTCTCAAACCTGAAAAGTCTGACTGTGATACGGCTGTATGACAATCAGCTCTCCACCATTCCCGAGGATCTCTTCATGGACTTAACAGGCTTAGAGGAAATAAATCTCCAAGGAAACATGATCAGTGAACTATCCCCAAATTTATTTCCACATAAAGGAAAGCTTGTTAAATTGTTTTTGGAAAATAATCTTTTGACTAATTTACCTGAAGAATATTTTGTTGGCTTCCCTAAGCTTAAAACCTTGACCCTAAAAAATAATCAACTGATCAGCCTGCCGCCGGTGCTTTTTGGTGAAATGCCTAAACTGACTGAACTGAGCCTCCAACAAAACAACCTCAGCACACTTCCTAAGGGAATCTTCAGCCCATTGAAGAAAGTTAAGAAGCTGGACCTCTCCAAAAATCAATTTGTGAATTTGTCTCCTGATTACTTTGACGGACTTGAGAAGCTCACTGATCTTTACATCCAAGGCAACATGATAAAGTCATTGGATGCACAACTATTTGAAAATCTTCAGTTTGTGACCACAATCAAGCTTGCCAACAATGACCTTCGGACACTTTCTGGGGATGTTTTTGACTCTTTGACCAAACTCAAAAAACTTGACCTTAGTAACAATCCATGGCAATGTGACTGCAATCTGCTAGATTTTTATCACTGGATAAAAACCAATGCTGTTAAGCTCTCAACAGGAGTTCACTGTGAGTATCCAGAACATCTGAAAGGACAGGAAATTAAATTGTTAAATGAGGATCAGTTAGTTTGCCCCACTCTCCCACCCATTATCACCACCTTACCAACCACTATACCAACAACAGTTCGAACAACAGAACCGACGACCACTCTCACTACTACAACATCCACCACCTCTTTACCAACCACCACACCAACAACGACACAGCCAACCACCACCACACCAACAACGACACAGCCAACCACCACCACACCAACAACGACACAGCCAACCACCACCACACCCACAACGACACAGCCAACCACCACCACACCCACAACGACACAGCCAACCACCACCACACCCACAACGACACAGCCAACCACCACCACACCCACAACAACACAGCCAACCACCACTACACCCACAACGACACAGCCAACCACAACGCCATCAACCACTGCTACTTCCACCTCAGTACCAACAACTACATCAACAACAACTGAGAGTACAGTTATTACGACAACCCCCACAACTATTGCCATGACCACAGTTCCAACGACCACAACAATAATTACAACAACCATGATGACAACCACTCCAACCACAACCTCTACCTCAACAACTACACCCACAACAACTACCCCTACCACTATGACAACTGCACCCACCACCTCCCTTACAACTGCCCTAACAACTTCACTTTCAACAACTACTATAACAACAACAGCACTTATGACAACCACCACATTCACAACTGCACAATCTACCACAATGACTACTTTACCAACCACAACCACACTTACACCTACCACCACAGTGACCACAACGACACCCACAACACCAAAACCCACAACGACCACACTCCGGACCACCCTTACAACAACAACCCAACCAGAGACTCCGACTACATCAACTCCTTTTGTAAACTCTACTTTTATTCTAGAGCCAAAATTGTCCTACGTTCAACACATCAGCAGAAAAGTTCAAGAATGCAAAATGTGGACGATGATCTACACCTCACTGCTTGTGGTTGAGATCACCTGCTCGCTGGTGTTGGCTAAATTCACCATTTCTCTTTATTGGTTGTTGCAATGCAGAGAAAGAATGAACCACAGACTCATCAAGCTCACTCACTTTTCCTACAGAAGAGAAGTGATCCTGAAGCCTGTGCAGGAGGGAGAAACCCAACGTCTTCTGCATCACTATGATAATCAATAAGCCAGCAGAGGTCATTTGACTCAACAGTGCCTCATTAAACCTGCTTCTTAACTCTTTGTCAAACTGGAAATAAGTAGTGATTCCTCACAAAATTTTGCAGTGATAGCTCCTTTAAAGATGTCTGACATTGACTGCTAAGTTGATTTCCAATGTTTCATGTTTGTTGATTTCCTTTGGTTAAAAAAAAATCTTTTGAATATCTTAACTTTTATGTATGATAATTTGGTGAGTTGTTGATAATTTTAGCTTTTATTTTTTATATATGCTTGATTGTCAAATATCATTATTGCCTTGTATTTGTCATATTACTTGTTACTGTAAATGACTAAATTTCATCCATTAAGTCTGCAATGTAAAATAATCGCTTTGATTTTCTATAAATTATTCAGCAAATATTGGATTTGTGGAAATATAAATATGGGAAACAAAGATTTTGCTCCAGAACACATTCTTCAAACTCAATGGTAATGCTTTTTGAATCTATTTAAACACATTTTAAAAAATCACAAATACTCATTTCCTCTGATTATTTAAGTGGTCATTTTCTTCTTATTTTATAACAGTGGTGCAAAACTAAATGGAAAAATCTTGGAGTAAAAATCTAACATCAACAGGATCTATTTTTGGACAGCACTAACATCATGCTGATGTCAACACAACCATATTATAAACAGCAAGTCATGTGTGAAGAACATTTTTAGAGTCGCTAGGAAATCTGGATAACCGCCACTAGAGGGCAGCTTTGAGTTAAAAAGAGAGTCTGAATAACAGAATACCTTTTCCACCTTAAACCTTCTTATAACGTCAAAAACCTTCATAATGCTCCCCATTATAACGGGAAGTTTTGCTTTAAATTAACCAATGCAGACAAGAAATCTAAGGAAATAAGTTGTTAATATTTAATGAGCTTCAAACAAGTCTGTTTGAAACATGACAACTCACACAATGATCTCTGCAGTTACAGAGCAGATCTGAATAAAAAGAAAGTTGTGCCCTCCAGCTCAAAAAAGATGATTTAAAGAGATTGAATTGGGCTAACATAAATGTGCCTTGTGAAATGTAACTCAGTGCTTTTTTCTCAGACCAACAGAAACAGAAATAAATGACTCGGTTACATCTATCGCAGGAGATCAGATACTGAACAGACAAGCAGTAATGAAGTATGGCACAATAAAAGATTATCACCAAAACAATGTGTAAACCAAAGATTTTCATAAAATCATTTTTATGCCTCCAACAAGTCTCTCCCACTGCAAGTGCAAAAGGAATCCTGCCTAAAAACAAACACTTGATGCGGAAGAGATCCAAAATGTCAAGAAACAAAGAAAGTTGTGGCTCTGAATATTTCATCTCACTCTGAATTGTTGTGTAACATGCTGTTAGTCTTTGTCCATGTTGCATCACAAAGCTTTTCTCATCTCTGTACATAGCATGCAATCTGGCACTATTTCAAGTATTAATCCAGAACAGAAAGACTAGTGGGTGACAGACAAAGTTTTGATGATTTTTGGCTGTCTATAAAAGTAAAATACAATATAGTATTAAATACACTACTGAACACCACTGATATGACAACCAAAAGGAAAATACTTGGTGCATTATACAGCCTATGCTGATATGATGAGGGCTATAACATGCATTAACAAACATGAGATGAAAAGAAGAATTTAATATATTAACAAAATCTCCAATTAATTTGTCAATAGGAACAACATAAAATTGAAGGAATGACTCGTGATGAAATGTAATTCACTCCGACACAGTACTATTTCAAACAAAAGGAAAAACCTCAGTAATTAGATTTAAAAGCTAGTGTTCACATCTTCCATCAACTCCACGGTAGTATGGCCTATTTCCTCAAACTATGACAACAACAGGGCACACAAAACATTACAGTAAATTGTAACACTGTGTTATCTGTGAATGAGTGGTGACATCATTACTACTCATGATATAGAGATGCATGTAAAGCTCAATGGGCTCAAAAATCTTTTGGTGTTTTTATTCTCCTATGCTAAAGATACCTGATATCAACAGAAAGCTAAAGAACAGTAACTAACTCTAAACTAAAACTAAAGTCTCTCTTCATAAAGTAATATTTGCAAATCTTCTTAATCTTCTCTAAATTATAATTTTTCTTTTACCACACAGGACATGCAAATGTCCTGAATGCTTTGAGTTCATGTTCCAAGATTCAGGAATATGAGAAAAAAGTCCTCCAAGTTCTGCTAATGAGCCTGAAATGTAGATGAGGAGTCAATTGCGTGTGAAAAGGGCAATGTACTGAGGAACATAAAAGGCCGTAAATTGGGAGGAACACATTGCATCTTAGCTTAGTTATCTCAACTGGAAACAGTTCGACGTAAACTGGAAGATTTTCAGCTGGGAAAGTGCAGCTGATTACCTGAAGTTAATGGCCAAAAAAAGGCCTGTGCCAGACTGGAGCATCTGACAAAATGTGTCTGTCTGGCCAATATAACTCTCATTTTTCACCATATTTTGCTTTCTGATGGAAAACAAAATGTTAAACTGTAAAAAGCATGTCCGGTTTTGCTTTTAGAAGCAAAAATAGAATGCAGAAAATGGCATATGAAAAACATGTTTTGATGAGTTTTGTTCCATTGTTTTTTGCACTGTTTTTTTATCCTTAAAATACCAAGAGAACTCCTCAAACATCAACTTATGGTTAAAAGCTCAAAGGTACTATTGCACCCATATACATAACCCAAAAGGTGTTTTTATTTTTATTAATACCAGATGCAATCCTAATTTAATAACGCCAATCAAACAATTAGAATATTATCTCAAGACATTGATTTTGCAGAGGAAAGCTGCCCTTGCAATTAGCTTGTCTACATATGTCTGAAAAATTGTGTAATAGATTATGATGTAGAATTAAAATGACTGAAAAACATTATTTTCTAATTCAAATATTTAATAACAGTTAATCCAACAACTTGGTGGTTTTCTGATTTGTAACCGACATATATTGAAGTCAAACAGTTTATAGTTGCACTCATGACCATAAGGAATCTCCCACATGCAGAGGAAGCAGGAAACCATGGATCTGGTGTCACTCCCATCATCCTCTCCCCAACTTCAACTTCTGACCTCGGGAGTGTCCAGCAGAACCAGCTGAGCCCAATCATTGCCTGCCAGCTGCTCCCCTACAGGCAACATGTAGCTCCAGGAGGCTAAGGTCACCATGATGCCGTCTCATTTGAGGCTAAAAATGGAATATTCTGGTAACTGCTGATGAAGGCTACATGGAAACTCAGGTCACTTGTGCATGATCTTAAAATTGATCAGTGATCTAAAATATAAAATATAATTACATTTAAAATGTCTCCGTCTGAGAGGTGCAAATTGACACATAGTTGGTGAAATGTTTTGAGGCTGCTTTCTGCACCTTGAATAGTCAGATATAAAATATGTAAAACAACAAAAATGAAAAACAAATGGCTAAGCTCTTGGGTTGCTGTGGTGGTGCGGGGGTTAAACACGTCCCTCATATGGAGGCTTTCGTCCTGGATACTGCTGTCGCACGTTTGATTCCCGGCCTGGTGACCTTTGCCGCATGTCTTCCCTCTCTCTTTTTATCTGCCTTTCACTTTCAAATAAACGCCACTACAGCCAAAAAAAAAAAACCTTTAAAAAAATGGCGAAGCTCCTGTCAGAATACATTGATTATTTCAGTATTTTACAATGTTACCCCACAAAATATAATATTGCAAAACAATATTACTTTCCTATTTCTCAAAGTCATTCCAGCGTAGAAATGTTACATCAACATTTGAGAAATGGTTGTCTTAATTCTGAAGGAGAGGTAAACTCTCTGAAGCTCAAAGTGTTAAGTGTGACTCAGAATCCACTAGTGTCTCAGAACAAATCAAAATTGTAATTTAATAAAGAGCCAATTAGGTGCTCTATTAAGCTCTGATTTATTTTGCTGGATCTCATTATACCAGGTTTCTCTTGTAAAGTGCTCATAGATCATGCGGGTTGCTGGTTTATAAAATGAAATTATATGTCACATATTTTGATTAACGTTCTCAATAAAGAATGAAAAAAGAACAAAGAAGCCATTGCCTCTAAGCCTGCATTAAAAAGTCCATCAGTCACTCATTCCGATGAAAATGTGTTGATGTGATACACAGGGACAGTTTATAAACCATTATGACTGCAGAATGTTTTGATTTAATCCTTTAGTGACAATTACAGACGATAAAGTCCACGGGAAAGTATTTATAATAAAAAGCACACCAGAATTGATGTGAAGAGGAATCTAGTATGTTACTCTGAATAGCCATGCCAGCAGCCGAGCTGCCATAACAAGAAGGAGTAATAGCTTCATATAATGACTTGTCAGAACTGGTATGAAAAAATGAGATATAAATAGCCCGACTTGCAGTAAAAAAAAAAAAAAAGAAAAGAAAAAAAGACATGGCTATTTTTACTGTGCCATCGTCTCTTCTGTCTAATTTTAGTTAAAAAATGAGTCCTCCTAGCTGTCCAGGCACTGCACTCATCCATCTGCAAAAAAACTGCATGTATTACTGAAAATGAACAACTCTGGGAGTCGTCATATATTCTGACACTTCTGGCAGAACTGCAGCTCTCAAAGTCAAATCAGTTTGCCTCTTTTGATTAAAGTGAAGCATTTAGACATTTCTGGGATTTCTGATGTTAGTCCAAACCCCAGAAGAGATAATGGTGTCACTGACTTAACGAGAAGATTCACCTTCGCTGCACCCCTGGAGGAGAAGGAGGCATTAGCCCACCATACTGGATACACTTCTGCTACTCAGCTCCAGCTTCTGCAGGCCAGCTATTTGACTTATAATTGGTCGGTGCAATTAGAGCAATTTACTCTGTTCTGGTCATGGACCCCACAGGAGGGCAGTTTGGGTCAAAAGCTGAAAAGCGAAGGCTTAATGTTTAATTAGAGGAAAATGAAGAGATGTGCTGTTTTCATCCTGACGTACAGACAGACAGACTTCCAGAAATGCAATGCTAAATTGTAAAGTCACTGCAGAGACTGATTCAATGTCAAATCTAAAACAAATGGTGAATGATTGTAGTACTATGAAAAAAGTATTTCCCTTTTAAAACATTTCAATTGCAATTAAATACTCAAGATCTTCAAAAATATGCTTTCAAATAAATAATTTATCAAGGAAATATGTGAAGCAAAAGAACCTGGCCTCAACTTCAAATATAATCACCCCTGTGTTAAATGATAGACTGATGGAGATAATACACTTTTGGTTCAGATGCACTGGCCACACCAGAACTTGGTTATTTCCACGCTGTAGAGACCAGCCCTCATAAAAAAAAAAAAAGAAAACACTTTCTGACAACATAACTTAAAAAATTTAAACAAGAACACTGTGGAATGGCTAAACCTTTGTTCTGCAGCACTGTACAAACATGGATTGAAATGATACGTTCTTTCATTTGGTGATGTTGTACTATTCAG